GTAAAAATTTAGCTTAGGTAACTGGAGACTGCCACACAAAAGAGGTAGCAAACCTTGGTAGTTGACTATCAGATAGCTATGGGATAGCTGTGCTGCTGGATGGTGCTGTGTACCTGTGGGTTTTAGGGTAGCATGTTATGTGTAATGTGTTCAGAGAGTTGTGGGGAAAGTACGCGCAAGCATCCCTGTGGACAGATGCCATCCATCACCCCTGCGCTCCGCAAGGCCTGGCCATTATTATGGGACAAAGGGTCTTGAGGGCTGTGAGGGGCAAGGGCTGCCTCCACAAGCACTCTCTGGACAAACGCCACCGGTGCCACTTTGGCGGGCTGAAGAGCGTGACTGCTCTCGGTGAAGGACTGTGTGTCAAGACTGGAGGCAGGCGAGCCCTGCAAGGAACACTACTAGCTCCTCAGGAAAGGCAGTGGTCCTGGCACGGATCCACCTCTATGTACCGCAGAGAGCGCACTTCACTCATCCCCACATGGGGAGAACGCCCATTTAAACTCTCCTAAGATGCTTCTTGGGTGCGGCCGCCATAGGCCAGCTGCGGAGCCGGTACCTGCGGCGTTCTCTGCCTCGCCGTCCCCCCGAGCGACGCTGAGCGACGCTGGGCTCCCGCAACCCTTTCTGTTCCTCCCCCTCCCAGTTTCGCTCCCCTGCAGCACCGCACCCGGAAGCCGCCGCAGCTCTAGCATCCGCTTCTTCTACTGCGCCTGACCACGCTTTCCCTACCCGCCCCACAGGCGCCTGGCGCGGCTGCTACCACCACCCCTAGCCATCCGGCCCCGCCCGCCAACGTAGGTACCGCCCGTCCGCAGGACCCCTCTCCGCCACCGGGGCTGCCCCTCCGTGCGCCTGCCGGGCAGCGGCACTCCAGCCCGGCTCCCCCCTAGGGAATGCGGCGTTTCCCACCGTCCCTGCCTTTTAGCCCCGGGCGGCGGCGCCTCACGCCGGCTGGGCGGAGGCTCGGTGCGGCGGGTGCTGGTAGGCGGTAGGCTGGGCGGCCCGAGCTGGTTGGGGTCCTGCGCGGCGGCGGCGGGGCGGGCCGATCCGTGTCTCCTTCACTTCGCCCTCCAGTGCCAGCGGCAGCAGCAGCGCGGCCTCCTCACGGCGAGACCCGCCTGCGCCCCCGGCCCCGCTGCTCTCCCGCGCTAGCCAGGTGCAGACTCTGGCCGCTACCGGTCCCGCGGGAGCAGGGGAGGCGGGCGGGGCTCGCCCATGTACGAGCGGGCGTGTAGGTGTTAAGCGGGTTTGGGGGGCGCGTGGAGTCCGGGGTGGCGGGGCCGGAGGCGCCTTCCGCGGCGCCCAGGCTAGCGGTGTGGCCGCCGGGGCGGGGTTTGTGTGTGTTTCTCCGCACGCGTTGTCTCTGTCCGCCTCCCGCATGGCCTCCGCAGGCGCCGCACCTTCCTCGGCGTGCTGTCCGGACCGCGTTACATAAGGGGCGTCGGGGAAGGCGCGGCGGGCGGGGGTCAGGCCGGGATGCCCAAGATGGCCGCGTGGAGGAGTTCACCTTGCGGCGGCAGCGGGCGCCGCTCGTCCTGGCGGCGGGCCTGGCAGCGGCGGTGGCGGGCCCGGGCGTGGGGGAAGGAGCTGGCGCTGGGCGCAGCTGCCTGGGCCCTGCCCTTGGGTGTGCGCCGCTGTCCCGTACGTCCCGGCCTGGCTTTCTGCATCCCCTTTTCGGTGTCCTTCTCTGCTGGGAGGCTCTGCTCCGCCCTGCTTTCGATTTCTGAACGTGTTTAATTTCCTTTCGTATTTCCGTGGAAGCTAAGTTGGCCTAGCCGTGGCGGCTAGACCAGTATGTCTGCCTCCGAGGTACAAGAATGGAGTTGAAGCAGGGGCAGTGCGGTGTTTTTTTTTTCTTGTTTAAGCTCTGACAGCAGTGTAAGTCTAAAGGTCAGCGTGTGTCCGGTGTATTGTAGCAAAGAAATTTTTGATTAATACCGGTTTCTCTGTTGTAATTTACAGTACTGAGTACAATTTAAGTGCAGTTATTGCTATTTTGTTTTTTCATTGCATGAGTACGCTAGGGTTTTTTTTTCTGTTATAGCCTGATCTGGCGTGTATCCTGATCTTCAATATTCAAAATTGCTAGAAATCCTCATAGAAGGCCTTAGCATTCGTTTAATTATAGGGCATGAGGGAGTTTTGAAATACTATCTCTAAGGAAAACTGTGATGTAATAATTCTGATAGCATTAATACACCTTTCTGTTCTTGAGATGTTTGGGGTTTCTTTACTTTTTTTGTGGAAGAAAAAAGGCTCTGAAGTAACAATCAATTAAGCTTTTTTTTAAATTTTATTTTTAGGGTGGCATGAAACAAAGATCAGGGTGGAGCTCCCACTTGATTTTAAAATGAGGGATAAGATTATCTGATAGTTGTTTTCACAGCAAAGCTCTTGTTAAACTGTACTTGTATTTGAGTTACTTTTATTGAGTAGTTTCTTACTGAAAGACACTTCAGAATAAAAGCTGAAGAAAATTACTTCTGATTATAAGAATTTACAAATCTAGTTAACTTGCCAGCATTGGAGGATGCAGGAATGATTATTTTTTTTGGCCCTGTTTTCATTTAATGGACATTCTGATGATGGCAATGCTTATCAGGTAATTAGTATACCGCAAATTAACTCTGTTTCCCTTTTGTCCATCCCTGTTGGTATAGGAATAGAATAGCAGTGTGACAGTTGTACTCTCTTTTTTAACTTCTTAATGTAAAACTGGGATATGTAGGCTGGAATATTTGACAAATACTGGCTGGATTCCTTGTGATGGGAGGGATGCTTAACTAGGCCAGATAAAATGGCAGCATCCTTATTACTGTAGTAATCCTTTGTACTTAGATACAGATACCGGTTTGTTAACTTCTCTCAGGACATTACTGTTTAGCATAAGTGTCTTCCCTGTAATGGTTGTCTAGTCAGATTTGAGACATTGAAAACAGAAGTGAACAGCTCGTTTATTTATACTGTAGAAGCATGTTTGTGCTAAAGGCTAGTATAAAACTTCAAAATTAGAAATAATTATTCTTCTGAAGATGTTAGAAATAAGACCTATTCATTAAAGGAAAGATGCATAGCTAAACTTTCTCTAAATTAAAGTGCTTATGAATTGTACAGTTGCTGTATAGTGGAAATTTAGAGGGGAAAGAGAAGTGTTTCTGCTTTCCTGTAATTTGGTGTACCACCTGCTTTTTATTGAATAAGTAATAGGAACCATTTAATGTCTTGTCACCAGGATTAGTATCTGTTCTGCTATAGATATTTTGTTTTTCTTAAGATGTATGTTGTTACAGACTTGAATTTGGGCTAAGTCTTTTTAATCTTCAGATACTCTAAGTTGTTCTTATATCCTTTTTTTTTTTTTTTCTTTTCTTTAAGAGACAATTTACTTTAACAATGGAAAACCAGACTTATTTTATGTTCTTGATGGATGTCTTGCCACAGTGATACGGCTGTAGAGTTTAGAATTCCATACCAAAGAAGGGTTTTTCAAAAAAAGCTGTGAATGTAGGTATTTTTGCTTGAAGGTGGTTGAAGTTATTCTCTAACGGTTTAGTGATGTGGAGTAAGGTACTCTGGAAAACTGCATTGCAAATTGTAGAAAGATCAAAAAGTCTTGTGCCTTGCCATTGCTTGCTAGAAAAGTTTGGGTAGTTTTTTTTTTTTTTAAATAGTAGCAGCTAACACAATGAGGCTGCATATGGCAGGTGTAATTATTTCTGGTTTTGTGTCTGTGTGTGTGTGTTGTGTGTGTTCCTTTTTCTTCAATGTGGATGCTAATCTGAAACAAATCTCTAGCGGAATGATGCCCCAAAGGAAATTTTTCGGAACTGGATGTTCCAGTAAAGTTTTTCCCATGAAAAGATGGGAAGAAACTTTTTGAGAGGAAACTCGAGAGAGTATTGCACTTGTTATTTTTGAGGTTCTAAAGATATTTCTCTGTTTACTTAAAAAATCTGACAAAAATGATGATCAATTATGTTAATCTGACTTTCTCCGCAAAACAAATGTGACCAATCAGTTTAAAAAGATAAGAGATTATTTTTTTTGTGTGCGTTTAGGCTTTTTATGGCTCTTATCTAGTTAGTTTCCTTGTCCTTGTGTCACCTCCACACCCTCTCTACACAGCATGAGAGAAGTTACTAATTCTTAAAAATGTGCAGTCTTCTGTGCTTTTGTACTTAACAGTGGCCTTTTGCTATTGAAATCTTGGGGTAACAGTTAACCAAAGGAAGGTACAGATAGAGTGTATCTTCACAGGGAGGAGAACCATACAGGCCCATGTGAGACCTTAGGCTACTATCTGTCCATTGGGCCAGGGAGGCTGGGTCATAGCTGTTCTTGAATGACAGGTTCTTTAACAGCAAGATTGCCAGAGGCTCCCTGTCTTAGAAAGGGACTTCTAAAGAGTGCTTTTCTCACTGACCCAGCACTCCTACTACTTGCTTGTTTTAAGCTAACAAGACAACCCCCCAGATTTAAGCTGCTGTATATTCGAGGGAGGGAGGAAACTTCAAGAGACTGATTGTTAGTTAATGGCACTAGATGTTCCCTTTTAATTTGTATGTCTACTATTTAAAATACAAGATGAATGGTGTTGCAGAACAGATACGCGCTCTTGTTGTATTTTGAAAATAAACCCTTGTAGGTCCCTATGGCTAATTTTCATAAGCATCTGTCAAATTCGACTGTGTGGCACAAGGACAGTTTGCAAGCTTCCTGGTTTTTGGTGATCACTTCCAACTCTGGAAATACGAGCTGTTAGTTGATTTCTGATAATTAAAGATGTATGGAGAAATGTACTTGAAAACTTAAGAGTTGGATGATCTTGTAATGCCTCTTCTCTACAAGGAAGTTACTTAAGCCAAGAAAAACACTGTTCACAGTGACCATCACTGTGAAAATCTATACATATTTCAGAGAATACTGTAGTTGTTTGAGCTATCTGTCTGTTAAATGCCTTCATATATGAATCTGCCTTAAAGAGTATCTTTAAAAAGTTGTGGTAGTATTTTTTTGTGCGTACGCAGTGATAAAAGGTTCACTACTAATTAGCCCATTACCTTTCAGCTCCAATGGCGATTCCTCCGTCATATGTAGACCTTGGCAAATCTGCCAGAGATATCTTCAATAAAGGATATGGTAAGAATAGTACCTTTTTATAGAACATGGTATTTGTGGTGCAGCAATGAATTGCCTTTTTAAACCTATATGTGAAATTGAATCTTTGAATGCCTGAGTTTCTGGGAAGGGGGAAGCAGTGGCGTTCTTAGTATCATTATGGTCAACTAACATATCATTGGTGGTTTCTTGTGGGCTGCTCTGATGTGAAGTCTGTTAAATATTACTGCATTAGCTACGTAAATGTCAGAGGTGTACAGGGCTGCAAGAATGTAAGTGTCAAGTGTAATTAAACTTAGGAGCTCTTTGTTTACCGATCTGTCTGAGCCACAGCATTTGTTGCTACAGAAAGGGGTACACACCATTGCAACACTAGCCTTTTTTGGAATAGAAAGAGGGATAGCTATTGGGATTAAGAATCCTTCAACATTTTCAAATATTTTAATACCAGGTGGTTGCATAAATTCTGCTTTGTTACAGTGCTTTTTCTTTCTGGTCTTTGGGAATGCATGTGGGGGCTTTCTTGCCAAGACTGTCGCTCAGCTCTAAGGGTAACAATATGAATTGATATTCCTATAAAGCCTACTTATATTACAGTTCCAATGGCTGTGTATTTCCCAGTAACTTCACTTTTACAGTTTTTTTTATTTTGAGGTAGTTATTCTTGGTGCTTGGAGAGGAATTTTATGTATTGGAGTAGCTCTTCCGATGACATTGACTACAAAGCTGATGCCATCCCAGAAGCAGCAAAGAATGCGTTTTGTCTGTCACTAAATTTACTTTGGGAAGTCACTGGTAGTTAACTGTGCAGTGTACTACTGACGTGACTATCTGCTTTATGTGATGATAGCAGAACAGAACTCCTGGCTTGTTTGAGAGTAGCCTTCTCTACCCACTGTGGCATATAAAACTTAGAGTGTTACTGAGGTCAGTCTGTGGTTGGTTTTATATATGTATGTGTGTCATGGCAGTCACACTGCTAAGATTGGTTGGAAACCAGCTTCTTGGAAAATGTGCATGGTCTTAAAGCCTTTTGGTGTAACTTTGACTTCTGTTTGTTAAGGTTTTGGGTTGGTGAAACTGGATGTGAAAACAAAATCTGCAAGTGGAGTGGTGAGTTTAAATACCTCTTAATAATTCTATTTTTTTTTTAATATGTTCTGGTATTCAATTAGAAAGGATACCTTCCAGATGCTGTTAGTAGCTTATAGGTTATGTAATTTATACATAAATTATAAATACATCCTGGTGTAAAATAATTTCAGAAGCCCCTAAAGATCTGACTGTATTCTGAATGTAGCAGGGGTGTTGCACTGTTTAGTAATCTTCATAAATAAAAAAGTTTATTATTTGTCCCTTGTATCTGAAGGTAAACAAATAGCTGACAAATATAGGAAGTATGTTAATATATCAGTGACAGCACACAGAATTCATTTCTAAAGTATCTTGTAATACTGTTTATGTTAGGAAATTTCTGGCATCTTCATGCTTGTGTGAAGTAGTTGGCAATGAATTAGCATGTTGAATCTTTTGATCCTCTTTAAAGTTGTTAGTTTTGTAGTAACGGTCATACAAGGTGTCTTCGTCATCCAAGCAGTGATTCCTGTAACTTCTTATAGAACAGAACTTGCAGGATGTAAAGGTTGATTTTTTGGGGAGTTTATATATCTGGGAGCTTTAACAGTGTAACTGGCTGTTAGAAACAAGGTGCATGGATTATGTGATGTGGTTGTTTTTTTTTCCCCAGAAGTCTGTATCCCAACTAAAACAGTTTGCAAGACTTCTGTTATAGATGTAGTTGTTCTTATTTTACCTTACTTCTTTTGAGGGCTACCAGTAATACTGATAAACCTCTGAAAAATCTAAGCCTTTGTGTGAATTCCGTATCAGTTATAAGCCATAGGAGTAATTGCTGGCATGTATATACTGCAAATGTTTTAAAGCAGAGATAAGAGATAATGTAATAATTAGCTGCTCCTGAAGCTATTACCACAAAGGTTGCAGTCACATACACCTGTGCAGTAGAAATAGCACAAGGCAAGAAATTAAAGCTGAAGTTATTAGGACTTGAAGTTGTGTAGTCCCTCTCACTTGCCACGTGATAGACCTTACCAGAATTACGTAACTGTGTGAATGGTTTAGAGGTTCACTAACAAGATAGAGGTAAATGTCTTGGCCATGATTAAATTTGATCAGCTGCTATTAAAGAGCAGTCTCGTCCATGATTGTGAGGTGCAGTATGTCTTGGGCTGTGAGAATATGCTTAAGGAGTCGTAAATTCAAACCCGTATTTCCTTCTGGGGGAGGTGAGTGTGAGGAGTTGACAATAATACTGTGCCTGGAGGAAGTTGGAGATAAAATTCTGATTTATGTGTTTTAAGAAGCTGAAAAAATAAAATTCTTAAATCATAAGGGCAATAATATTTCAGTGGGAATTGCTCTTTAACATGCATTTGCAAAACAACACACACTTTTTTGATGTTATTGCCTTTAGTTTCTAAATAGATTACTTGTTCTTTGTGAGAATTGAATAGAGACATTGCAAACTACTTAGCTTAACAGGGAGATGAGAGTGATATTGCTAACTTTTATCTACTTTCAAGAATTCCAAGTAAGACTGTACACTCTACCTCATAATTCAAATATGAATGTTCTTCCTGTGTGTCATTAAACCAGAGTGTCAGGGGAGTAGGAATTTGATAGCTGCCAGTAAAAATGCTTGTGCCTATGGCTTGTGTGAAATGACTGATGCATCAGTTAGACTGAGAAGTCTTACAAAGCAACAAAAATCCCCAACAACCAGACCTCCACCCCCAATTTGAAAAGTAATGACGTTCTGTGACATTGTACAGTTGTACATAATTTATCTTTGAAGATGGTTGGCTGGAATAATGGAAATACATATGTGGCCTTCAAAGAATTTAACTGGAGTTGCATTAAATGCCTTATAGTGTTTCTGGCTTTTGGTTTGATGTTTAACTTGCTCCTTAGGAGTATCAACCTTATATTTCAAGAACTTGTTTCTGCTTTCAAGCAGAATACTTAGGGTAACTCCTGTCTTGCTTCTGAGTTATGTTGCAACCCTGTACATTTTGTAATAGTGGCAGAAACTGCAGTGTGATGGGAAGTCGGGACAGAACTCCATGTGGCACAAATTGTCGAGTTTTTTTGTCCTTGTTGTTCCCCCTTCTACCTCCTCAAGTTGCCTAATGTTGTTAAACTTGTAGCATAGGATAAGATGATCTTCATATTTCTGAAGGAAAGTATTTTCCCTTTTGGCACTGTGTAATGCTTTCAGGATCACATTAATCTGTATAACATGAACGCTGTCCTTTTTAGGAATTCACAACATCTGGTTCGTCGAACACAGACACTGGAAAAGTGAATGGGAGCTTGGAGACCAAATACAAGTGGGCTGAGTATGGGCTGACTTTCACAGAAAAATGGAACACAGATAACACTCTGGGAACAGAAATTGCAATTGAAGATCAGGTAATAGATTAGGAGAGTATTTATTTGGTTTTTGTACCTAGCAGAACTAAATTCATAGCTCTGTCTTCTCCCTCTTCAATTAGATTGCCAAAGGCTTGAAGTTGACATTTGATACAACTTTTTCACCAAATACAGGGTAAGAATTGTTTAACTGTTTAACCTTGTTTAGGGCAGTAACAACACCCATAGTCTGTCAGTGTTCATTTGGTCTGTTGTAATGACAGAAATGTATGGTTTGCTGTTGATCCAAATCAGCAAATCCCAATGCTAAAGGCTTCTGCTCTTGAGCATCACATCTTAATCTACAGAGTTAGTACTGGACATTTCACAACAGCACACTTTCTTTATTTTCTGTGATAGAAATATTTGTAAGATTGCAGGAGGTATGAAAATGCCTCTACATTTATACAAAATGCTTGTTTGCAGTAGCCCTGTGCTTTCTTGATGGCCTAACTGTGCTTTGGCTTAGTCTAGAAGATGAATGTGGATGTATATACATTGTGTAGAGTCATATGGCTCAAATCTGGCAGTTTGTTAAGAAAGATCATACCTTAAGATAATTGTTTCTCTGTTTCAGAAAGAAAAGTGGTAAAATTAAGTCAGCTTTTAAACGTGAATGCCTAAACCTAGGTTGTGATGTTGACTTTGATTTTGCTGGACCTGCAATCCATGGTTCAGCTGTCTTCGGTTATGAAGGCTGGCTTGCTGGTTATCAGATGACTTTTGATAGTGCCAAATCAAAATTGACAAGAAATAACTTCTCTGTGGGTTACAAGACTGGAGACTTCCAACTGCATACTAATGTGTAAGTACTGACAATTGTGTCCAGATTTACAGAAACAGGCTTTCTCTACTTTTCCTTCTTTTCCTTGTAGTTAAAATACAAATGTTTGAAATACAAAGAGGTGCTTGCAATGCCATTAGGTGGAGTTCATTTTTCAATAGGAAACTAAATAAATGATAAAGTGGTTATTTTTTATCTCTCTTTCAAAACACTAAGTACCTGCTGCTTGTTAGCACTTACAGCATGATGTACAGCTTACTAAATACTGAAGTACATCCAAATTGAAAGTGTAATAGTTCAGTTGTGCAGAGCTGATCATAATGCTTTTTCCAGCTTTATATCTGGAATTATATCTGACTAAGGGCAGTATATTTGTTAGAGGTAGTAATGAGTGTTGCACTGTGTAAATAGGCCAGTAGTAGTTCCTGGAGCAGGACCAGAACTTGGTTTTTGGACTTTTCGAGTAGGTTCACCTTCTTGTGTGTCTGGGATGAAAAGTACATTAAACAATGTAACTAAACAAGTATAGGAGACCTTGTTTATAAACTCTCTTCAGACTTGTTATGTTTAGATTTTTAATGTTCTTCAGAGCAAGGTGGTCAAAACCTACTGAAGAACATGTTTTCAATCCAAGTCAATAAAAATTGGCATGCTTCTAGTGTGTTTAGTTAAGGAAGTGATATGATTTTTTGAGGTAGAAGTTTGTCCTTTTGGAGGTGGAGGATGGGCATTATGTCTCTGGGCTTCTGGAAGTTGAGTATGGGAGGAAGCTGCAAAACGCTTTAGTGTGGACTAAGAATTCAATTTCAGTTTACTAATGTCAAGTATCATAATAGATCTTTTTAAAAGGGTCATCTTATTCTTTAGGAATTTCATATGTGTTCAATAACCATGCAGTTCAGAATGCCCATTTCTTAACTATTAACTTTTATCCATTGTGATCTGAAATTGCATTCAAGCACTTAGTTCAGCATTAGTGTGAGTTAGCTGTAGCACTCTGAAATACCTTTTTCTTCTATGAATTATTGCAGTTTAATTTTGCTTTTAAGCCTTTGTTTGTCTCCTCTTCACTTGTTGAAAAATGTGAAACAACTGAGACTTTCAGAATTCACATGGAAATAAAAATTTCAAGTGGTTAAAAAATGTTGGAGTTATGTAAATACAGGAAACTTAACTTTTTGCTTAATTTGGCAGCAATGATGGTTCAGAATTTGGTGGGTCAATTTACCAGAAAGTGAGTGACAGTCTTGAAACAGCTGTAAACCTGGCTTGGACAGCAGGTAGCAACAGTACTCGCTTTGGCATTGCAGCTAAATACAAGTTGGATTCCACTGCTTCTATCTCTGTAAGTATTGATCTAACCAAAAGGTTACATTAAACACTGTGCGCTTTCAGTTTCTGCAGATCTGCTTGTTAGTATAGAAGGAGGTAATAGGTCAGGAAGCTGCATAGGAATATTTTTGCAATTCAGACAGTTACAATAAAATGTAATGCAATACAATAAATTTAAATACAATATAAATTTTATTTAAATAAAGGTTTAATGTATTTAAAGTCTGTATTGCTGCATACAGCAAAGTCTTTTAGAATCTGTCAGATGTGCTACTCTACATAACTTAATGTATTTTAAAGAAATTGGAAAAAAGAACTCCAAAACCCTTCATGTCTACTTCTGTAACTTCATGTAGTTTAAAACCAGTTTTGGGGGAGCTCTGTCATGTTCTGTGCAGGAACTCTGGTGATACTTGTTAAAAAGGTGATGTACAGAGTTATCTGTATGTTACAAAGTTAGAATTGAACCTGGACTGTTGGAGTCATCCTGTAGAGGAAGTGATGCAAAGTGAGATAATTTTGCACATATTGTTTATGCTGATACTATGAAATGTTTGCTGCTTGACTGATTGGACCTGCAAGATGCCAATTCTTTTGTAATAATACAAATGTGGAGTTTTGGCCACATACAAAAGTGGCTTGTTTTGGGACACTGTGGTGGTAAATTGCTATGGTCTTCTGAAAAGTGGGGAGTGGGAATGGTCTCCTGCCAAACTACATTCTGGTAACAGTTCTCCCAACCCTTACATTCTGTCTGCTCTTAAATATGTTACTTCAGCTGTAAGCTGAGGGGCAAGGGCATAGCTGGGAGGAGAGAATCAAGTAAGCATAGAGACATTGAAAGAGCAAGTAAAATTTGATTAAGTTGATAATGACAGTGTTGCCATAGTTATTCTAGCTTCTGAATGATGATTAAAAACTAATCAGTTACAGCATTTCAATTGCTTTGTTGTGTATGTTGTTTGTTTTTTGGTTTTTTTTTTTTTTTTCTTAGGCAAAAGTGAACAATTCTAGTCTAGTTGGAGTGGGTTACACCCAGACCCTGAGGCCAGGTAAGGGTCATTCCATGAATTATGTCACATACTTAACTTTTATTCACTACAAAGAAACTCTTTGGGTTCTACGCATTCATATCCAACTGTTTCCCTCTTCAGAATAATTTGGTCTTGAAGACAAAGTAAATGTGTTATAGTAGCTTATCTTGCATGTCAAACCTTTAGCTAAGCAAGACAAATTCTGTTGCATCTGGTGGTGTTTCTGCAACATGGTGTATTGAATGATAGCAGGTCTTGAAATAATCACTAATTGCCAAAAGATGGCACTTCCTGCTCTTTGTATTTTGTAAACCCTCCAGAAGGTAACTTGTTCTGATTAAATATGAAAACATCTGCTAATGCTATATTACTATTGGTTAACTCCTTATTTGAAAACCAATAAAAATCATAGTTTCATTCCATCCCTTCCTTGGTGCAAGTGTCTTTCTATGCAAGCTTTTTCTCCTTTGCACACCATGATGTGGGGTAGGGGTCTTGTACTTATCAATTAGAGACTGTATATCTGCTTTGTAACATCTACAAAAAACGTACAGCTTGATTCACATGAGTAGCTTTAAATGGGTTTAATGGGTAAATTTTCGTAGAAATCTTTTGAGAAAAGTAATAGAATAGGAAAATAGCTACAACTGGGACTTGCAATGGTGGAGGTTGAGTTGCATGAAAGCTACTCCGATTATATGTTGTAAACATGCTGTTTAAAAATCTTACAGGTGTGAAGCTTACACTGTCTGCCCTGATAGATGGAAAGAGCATCAATGCTGGTGGCCATAAACTTGGTCTTGGCCTGGAACTGGAGGCTTAAAAAGGTGAAGAAACTGCTGCAGAGAAGGGATATCAGAAGAATTTGGCCTTAAAATGTATTTCCAATGTGACCAGCAGGCTTTTCTTTATTTCCACACGCCCCCCCCAAGAAGGATGACCTAGAACAAGAGCTGTATTTGAAGTATTTAGACAGTTACTTGTTAGCTGGTTTCTAGTTAAATTGGTTACCCGTCTAGTTAAAATTCTGCATTAGTGCAGTCACTTAAACATTATTTAAATGTATTTAACTGTTTAATGCGCTACCCACAAATAATGAAATAGACATTTATGAAAACCGTACAATTGTGTGCATGTTTGTTTTTATGTTCCTTTTAACGTTTGATATTGCCATTGAATGAAAAATGGATCAGCGGATGTTTTTGAAATGAGGTCAACAATTTTGTTTAATCACCTGAAGAAGAAATACGTTTGGTATCCCAAGACAAATTATGAATAAAATGAGTACACACACATATTTGTGCCTCAGATATTTTAAGAGTTAAGATATAAGGGTAGTGCTGAGTTAAGGTTTAACTTTTAATTTAAAATCATCCAAGAAGTAGTGCTCTGTACCTTTGTGCAGTTAAGGACCCACACCCATGACGACACCTAATATAGACTGTTTTCATCGAACAGTTGGATTCCTCAAGCAAGTTGAATGTGTTTTTCTGTAGGTAAGATTTGTCATGACACAATGGTTTAATTACCCCTGTGTTCCACGGGCAAGATTTGCTGTAGTACTAGTAGGCCTCTTGATGCAAAGAGTGCTAAGTAATATACTTGGCACACTGATTTTAAGAACTGCTCCCTGATGCTGTTGCCCAAGGGGTGAAAAACCTCACCACAAACACACCTTTTGCTTATATTTGTATGAAGTGAGACGTATCTCTGCAACTGAATGTAACAGTGTAATGGTATTACAGCCTACTTATGCCAACTGCTGTGAGAGGTTTCTGCTTAAAATGACTGAAATAAAGGCTTCATTTTAAATGGAGATGGCAGAAAATGCATCCAATTTTGCTTTCCTGTTGACAACTACATTTTGGCAGATACGCATTTTAAGGTGAGAAACATGCCTGATAATGGTAAAACTCATCTTTTTTCCAGGAAGGATTAAGAAAGAATAGAAGTATATGGGGTAGTTGGTCTATGAACATAATGTCTTTTAAGGTCAAATGTAACTAGATGTGAATTATTTTAATATGGAATATACATGTAAGAATGGGGCTTTATTGAGTTCAGGGGAGTGCCTGGAGCCTAATTCTTACAGTCCGTTATAACTGGGAAGATACTTAATCTTGCAGTCTGCAGTTCACAGCATCTTCCTTTATAGGGCAGGTGGCTAGTTTATGATCAGGAAGCTTTATCTTGAGTTTGAAAGCTGTGTTCAGTTCATGCTGGATTAGACTTCACCCCTGTTAGAAGTCTTGGTGATTTGCTGAAGGTCTTGAGTCATACTGCATTGTTGTCCTCAAATTCTTGAATTAAGTACTCTGTTGTAAACTGTCCAGGCTTTAGCTGTGGGAAAGCTGAACCACCTTTGCAGAAGAGTGGAGGTTAAGCTTCCAGCTCAGGCTCTTGGGCAGGCTTGCTAGTCTGACTAGTTCTGTTATGCGACTGTGACATAAGGTTTGACAGCCTTTGTTCTTGGGAGTTCCTTTACTGCTGTCACTAAATGCCTTTGTCTGAGGAGCACTTCCACCACTTGGTGATGGAAGAGGAATGTAAGGTGCAATTCATTGCACTCTTACTGCATGGTAACATTTGTGAACTCTACTTTGGATTGTTTTCATGTACTATACCTCTTAAAGTAGTGACTGTGCGGCCAAACATTTGACTTTTAGTGTGGGTTCTCCTTTAGTATAACTGGTTTTGTTGCTTCACAGTGTGTCCATGCTTCTCTTCAACTCTTCATACATATTTGTAATGGAAAGCTTTAACCTATTCATTTTACTCTGTTCTTATGTGCAACACTTTACTAGTCCTCATCCTGTAAACCTTAATTAATTTGTTATAACGCTGATAGGCAACTTGGAGAAATAAAAGGGCTCTGCAGTAGTTAAGACAACTGTGGAAATGTGAGTTTTCCTAAAATATTCTGTCATAAATCACTACTTTGACCATGAAAAGGAAAATCAGTGGCTATCTCTTGTCATCTCTCAAGTGAGGCTTGTAAAAATGGCTTTCAAACTTTCAAGTGTGTTAGAGAAGCCATGATGTAATTGGAGTTTTGTGGCAAGGAGTGTCAGTAGTTTAAATAGGTCCATTTTGTTAGAACATGTAAAAAGCCTTAATAATAGCTTTAAGTGCTAGCCAGCCTTTTGTCAGGTGTCATTCTGAATACAACAAAAACACTTGAGATAACCAGTGACCTGAGCATGGCTGCGCATCTTGTTTGTGTGAACTGTAACATTGCATTCCTGCCTGGTGCAGCTGGAGTAGGCGCTGTCTGTGTCTGTATCACAAGGAGAATTAATCAAGCTTTCACAAATAAAAATCCTTTCATATGAGGTCATGGTCCCCTGGACTTGAACACTTACATTCTCATTGTGGTGTAGGAATTCTCCAGGTTGTTTCAGTTAACCTTGCACTCTTCACGTGGCTCAGCTTGGTGTGGTATATTCTTAAATCTGCCTCTTGCACACTGTTTTTTCAAAACCAGATTTGTTTGAAACTATTTTGGAATGGCCGTGGAAACTTCGCCCTTCAGCACCATGGCAGAGGTTCTCTATCGCTGGGATAAAGCTACGTGGTAATAGAGTATGCTTACTGCCCTCTAATGTCCTGTTCTGGCGTTTGGCTTGTTTTGGCAATAGTCTGTTTCCTGGGCACAGAGATCATTTAAATCTACAGTGACTGTGCTTCTGTGGGAAGTAGAACCTAGCAAGCAGAAGGCAGCCTGGGTGCTGAATCACATGGGTGATTCAGCCTGGTTTATGTCAAAGGTCCTTGTTTCCTTACGGTACCAGTCAGCACAGATGAAAGTAATTCTATGCAAGGTAAGCCACTAATGATGACAAATGGTGGGTCATGCCTGCGGCGGTAGTGTCTTAAAGGCAGGTACAAATGCTTCCTATGAACTGGCAGAAAGGAAAACCCCCCAAAAAGCTGGTGTGGTTGTTATGTGGGACCCCATTTGTTGCAAATGGTTTTGTGTTTGTCAGCCTCCCTTTGCAGTGGAATATTTCTCTTCCTGATCTGGAACAGAAATAAAAACACTGATTATATCAATCATTGTAGTGTGTATTCATTGTATCTTAATTATGTCTTCCTTTTCACGATTGCTCCCAGGCCTGCCTTTTAGCTGTCCATTGTATTCATCTTTCCACATGCTTCTGGGTCAAATGGAAAGTAATAAACTACTGGATTAATTTTTGTGAGTTTAACATATGGCATCTTCTGCTGTAGCTGTGAGTTTGATACTGATGCTCATATAAAAGAGGCAATCTTTTTGTGCAGCAATTTCTGAAAAAATAATACCCAGTTGAAACTCAAAAATGCCATTAGATGTGGGGTGTTAACGCACAGATTTGGTTCAAGTCTACACCCATTTACCTACTGGTGTTGGGAAGAGTGCTGACAGGCCTTTAAAGATAGCAAGCAGTATGCTTCAGTTCCAAGTATTTGACCTCTACTGCATCCCATGTTTTTGAATGAGAATTTTCTGCTGAAACCAACAGCAGGGCAATACCTGCAGTACACTTTATGCTGGTTAACAAGAGCACACATAAAAAATGCTCCAGGGCTTTGTGGGTGTTCTCATGGGATGTTCTCTGTCTGTGGGGGAAGATCCTAATGCTATTTGATTTTGTTAATGTTCATGCATTGTTAACTCAGTACCATTTTTGTTTACTTCGCCCGTGCTCCTATGAGCTCCTAAGGCCAGGCTAGTCTAGTGTGAGGTGTCCCTGCCCATGGCAGTGGGGTTGGAACGAGATGATCTTGCATGTCCCTTACAACCCAGGCCATGCTATGACTGTTAAATGCTAAATGGCTGTTACACAGACCTGGCTAATCTTAGTGTCCTTTATAGGGCTGGTTTGGGTGTGTGAGTGTGAGTCAGCTACAAGTGCGTGGCCTGCAGCTGTGCCTAGCACAGGTGCGGTGGCTGAGGGAGGAGGCAGCTAGTGAGGAACTAGTGAGCTTTGCTTGCTCTTGGATGTTTTATTGACCTGCCGAGCGTGGCATTATTAAGAACACTCCTTAACTGAACCTTCACTTGGTGCTCATAACTTCTTAAGTAAGAAATCCTGAGTTTTGCTCAGCTGTGTTTGGGGCTTGGCTCTCACGTGGGGAGGCGTGTTTTTCTCTGCGTAGATGTGACCGCTCTGTTTCCCCTTGCAGCTGCTCAAAGCGCATTCCTGTAACTTGGTACTCCTAGTGCCCGCGTCCCTAACTGCCTTTGCGATGGCTGCAGTGCCGGGCTGTGTCTCACCGTCACTACTCAGGCCCGACAGCATCTTGCGAGGCGGGGGGGGGGGCATCGAGCGGCAGCCCCGCACCGCCCTCCCGGCCGCGGGGCAACGGCGCCACCTGGTGGCCGCTGGCGTACTCTCACCCGTCTCAAGGGAGCCACGCGTAACTAACGCGGGTGTTTCTCTGATGCCTCTGCTTAGCTCACCAGCGGGGAAATAAACGCGGCAAGGCCAATTCATTCTAAGGCTGATTCTGAGCTGTAGAAATAGAACTCGAGGAGGAGAACCGCTGCGTATGCTGGAATTTGAGTGCCCTCCTGCCCCGTGCCTGAGAGAGATAGGCAGTGCCTGTCGACATCTAAAGGAGCAGTTGGTCCTGTTCTCTACATTTGGCTGCCGATAGAGACTCTAAACAAAATTAATTAATACAGCAGGTTATCTTACCGACTGCTGCTATGCTCCTGGCTTGGAATACCCTTATAGAAATCTCCAAATGCTTTGAGATACCTGGATTTTTAAAGAGATGTTCTGGCCACCCTCGGCTTTGCAAAGTGCTTGCTGACAGGATGACAGGTCCCAGCTGTGGAAAAACAGAAGACAAAGGGGAAGGATGCAAAATGTTACTTCACTTGTGGTCCTCCCATGTGTGATGGCATCAGGCACTGTGGTGAGGCTGGACCAACTGTATGGCTGTAGCCCAGGTGTCTTCCACTGCTACAATCTAGGTAGTTCACTCTTCCCTCCTCTTTGCAATTAGAGTCCCAGTCAAGCAAGTGGAGCATGAGGACAGGTACCCTTTTGCTTGCTTCAGCTGCTGGTGCTGTGGGGCACTGGCCTCCCCCGAGAAGCAGTCACAGGGTGGTCAACACTGATGTAAGTAGTGGCTGTACCACCCTTCCCTTCACACGGAAGGGCTGTTAATAGCCTATAAGGATGATGGGGATGGACTCTTCACTGGAGACTGTAGCGATAGGACAAGGGGTAGTAGGTTAAAACTTTAACAGGGGAAGTTTAGATTGGATATAAGGAAGAAGTTCTTTCCTGTGAGGGTGGTGAGGCA